TGGTCGAGGTATGTATTCAGGTCCGCTCGGAATGGTCGCCGGTCCATTCTTGGTTCGAGTGGCCCTAGTCTGCCCACTAGAGTGTGCACATGGCGTCCGACTTTGCCGGCAAATGTTCAGGTTCAGTTCAGGCGTGACTTATGTCGCGAGATTCAGTTATCAGTTACGTGACTTCTGTCGCGAGATTCAGACCGGTTTATCAGTTATCTGTTATTAGATATCAGTTTCAGATTCAGTTCAGTTATATACTTAGTTCATGATCATGTCATTATTTACGATGTTGTACATTAGCATGAGTTTCTGCGGAGCACAGTTCCTTAGTGCTCACGCCCCACATCTTTCATGTTTTTCAGGTCGCAGGGTCGGAGATGAGGGGTGAGCGGGCGGGCTGTTCAGGACATTTATGTTATTTGTACTTATGATTTGCCACGCTAGACTTCCGCTAAATCTTTTCAGTACTTTTATCAGACTTTGTTCCGATGTTTGTCGGATAAGACATTATGACCGTTTTTATTTATCGGTTTAAATTTTTAAACGGTTTTCAGAAAATCAAGTTTTTCACGGTAGCATCCCGATCAGTTTTCGCAAAAATTAGTATTTTATTTAATTATTCAGAAAATTTGCGAAAAATCGCGCACTCTGATGTATTACAAGTAGCGGGGTGTTACACTTCGTAAGGCGATCCACTATCACCCAAATTGAATCACACCCGCTCCTTGATCTCGGCAATCCAACCAAGAAATCCATGGCGATGCAATCCCACTTCCACTGGGGAACCTCCAGAGGCTGCAACAATCCTCTCGGTTTCTGGCGCTCAACCTTCACTTGCTGACACACCAGGCACCCATCCACGAACTTCGCTATCTGCCTCTTCATGCCTCGCCACCAGAAGGATTTCCTCAGGTCCTGATACATCTTCGTGCTACCAGGATGGATGGTGTACGGGGCACTATGGGCTTCCTTCAAAATCTCTCTCCGCAGCTCCCACACCCTCGGAACACAAAGTCTACCCTCGAAGACCAAGGTTCCATCGGATGCGACTGCGAATCCACCAACTCTACCGGCTGTTGACAACTCCCTCATCCGTCATAGGAAATGGTTATTCGGTTGCTCAGCGACTATCCTCTCTCGAAGAGTCGGTCCCACAACCAAAGAGGTCAAAACACTCCCGGCTGACGAAGTCGACTCCACCGCCTCCAACTGCAATCGCTCGAACTCCCGAAGAAGAACATCCTGCTGGGTGAACACGCAAGACAACTGGCCTTGACTCCTCCGACTAAGGGCATCGGCCACCACATTAGCTTTCCCAGGGTGGTAGCTAATGGTGCAGTCGTAGTCCTTGACCAGCTCCAACCACCTACGCTGCCTCATGTTCAGCTCCTTCTGAGTGAAAATGTACTTTAAGCTCTTGTGGTCGGTAAAGATCTCGCACTTGCCTCCATAGAGATAGTGCCTCCAGATCTTCAAGGCGTGGACAACAGCGGCCAACTCCAGATCATGAGTGGGGTAGTTCTGCTCGTGAGGCTTCAGCTGCCTCGAAGCATAGGCTATGACTTTCCCTTGTTGCATAAGGACGCAACCCAAACCCATCTTCGAAGCATCACTATAGACGGTGAACTCCAAAGTAGGGTCGGGTATGGCTAGAACCGGTGCGGTAGTGAGTCTCCTCTTCAACTCCTGGAAACTCTCCTCGCACTGAGCACTCCAAACGAACCTCACGGTCTTCTTCGTAAGGTTGGTCAGCGGCTGGGCTATCTTCGAGAAGCCCTCAATAAACCTCCTGTAGTGTCCTGCTAACCCCAAGAAACTACGAACATCCGCGGCACTTCTTGGCGTATCCCACTTGCTCACCGCCTCGATCTTGCTGGGATCCACCTCAATGCCTCGAGCTGTCACAATGTGTCCAAGGAATGCCACACGCTGCAGCCAGAATTTGCACTTCGAGAACTTAGCATACAACTTCTCGCGGCGAAGAGTCTCTAGCACAATACTCAAATGTTCCTTGTGCTGATCAACATCTCGGGAGTAGACCAGAATGTCGTCGATGAACACAATGACGAACTGGTCCAGGAAAGGATGAAAGACCCTATTCATAAGGTCCATGAAGACGGCCGGGGCATTACTGAGTCTGAAGGGCATGACTACGAACTCATAGTGGCCATAGCGAGTACGGAAAGCAGTCTTGGAAATATCCGACTCCCGGATCTTCAGCTGATGATAGCTAGAACGCAAATCAATCTTTGAGAAGACGCTGGCTCCTCTCAGCTGGTCGAAAAGGTCCTCGATACGGGGAAGGGGGTACTTGTTCTTGACTGTAAGGGCGTTCAACTCCCGATAGTCAATGCACATACGCATAGATCTGTCTTTCTTCTTCACGAATAGGACGGGCGCACCCCACGGCGAGACACTCGGACGAATGAAACCGAGCTTGAGCAACTCCTGAATCTGGGCCTTGAGCTCTTGAAGCTCCTTCGGTGCCATACGATAAGGGGCCTTAGAAACGGGGCCGGCTCCGGGAATCAGGTCAATAGTTAACTCCACCTGGCGGTCTGGCGGTCCTCCGGGCAAATCATCAGGAAAGACGTCTAGGTACTCGCAGACAATGGATACTCGCTCGGGCACCCGCTCATCAACGACGTCGGATACCATAGAAACAAGGTAGCCTTGACAGCTACCCTTGGAAAGGCTCTTCCTAGCTTGCATAGAAGAGATGACCCGAGGCACAGTTCTCGAACTCACCCCAAAAAACACAACAGGCTGATCGGAAACGGGATAGAGGGTGACTTCGCGCTCCTGGCACCGGATGTCGGCTCGATAACGGGTGAGCCAGTCCATGCCCAAGATCACGTCGAAGTCTCGCATATCAATAACATATACATCGGCCTCCAGAACTCGACCACCAATACAAATGGGAAGACCGCGAACCACTGAATCAGAAATAATAATTTTTCCCGAGGCTAATCTAACCTCGAGAGGATCACAAGCATGCACGGTGCTAATAGATAAGGCCTCCAGACAATGAGACGAGATAAAAGAATGGGTAGCACCGGTATCACACAAAGAAAAAACAGGCACATGGGATATAGAAAGCATTCCGGACATGGTACCTGCATTACGAGCGGCCTCATCATGGGTGAGGGTATAGACACGGGCCTGACCCCCAGCCCTCTGCTGGAACGGTGGGGGCTGCTGCTGCTGATGGGGTGGCGGTGGGGGAAGCTGCTGTTGCTGAGGAAAATGCTGCTGCTGCTGCTGCTGAGGGAACTGTTGCTGCTTCTTGGGCTCTGGACAAACACTGGCATAATGGCCCGGACGGTTGCAGTTGAAGCAGGCTCGCTGGTCGGTTAAGCACTCGCCACTATGGTACTTGCCACATTTCTTGCAGGTGCGGTTGCCAGAAGAGGGATGATTGCGCCGATCTGGTCCTCCTCGCTTTCCCTTCCGGTTGTCCCGGTGGGAATCTGCCTTTCTCTTACCCGAACTAGAGCCGGGCGGTGCCGAGGAAATAGGCTGAGCATACTTGACCACAGTCTGAGACGGCTGAGAGGCAGGAGGATAGGATGGGATGGAAACAACCGGGATGAGACAGCTCTCCACCTCCTGAGCTCGGCTCCCGGTATCAGCATAGGACATCGGTCCATGACTTTCCACCAACTTGCGGATCCTCTGGTTGAGACCCTTGAGAAATTTTCGGGCCTTCTTAGCATCAGTGTTCACCGCATCACCAGCAAAAAGGCACACACGGGTGAAAGTGCGGATGTACTCATCCACCGAGGAACTGCCCTGCTGCAAGTGATAGAATTCGTGCTCCATTCTGTCCCAAAAGCTCTGAGGGAGGAACTTACTGCGCACCATCACTTTCATTTGCTCCCAAGTGAGAGCATGGAGCTCCGCCTCGAGCCTCCGAGCCCAAAGCTCAATCCACCAGTCTGAGGCATCTTCCTTCATCTGATATGCTGCAAGAGACACGCGCTGACGGTCAGGAAGGGGAAGCACAACAAAGATTTTGTCCAGCTCCTTCATCCACTCAAGCACAGCTGTGGGGTTCTCTGTCTCCGAGAAAGTTGGCGCATTCATGCGCTGAAACTGAACAATCAGCTGAGTGAGGTCCATGGCCGGAGGGGCCTGGCGCTGACGACGAGGAGGAGAAGGAGATGGGGATGGCTGACGGTTACAGTTGCGAGTATTCATACTTCTACATTTGAATAAGTCGAGCGAAGTTAGCACAGAAAACAAACAATAATACATCAGAAGTCTAGAGTTCGCCACAAACACTAGAGTTCGATTAATTCAAGGTGGATAGATCCTAAGCCCCATAGATA